GCAGACCAGGTAGCCTGAGAACTGGAGGGTTCAGAAACCAGAGACCCTACCCTAAACTAGGTGGAAGGAGGGAACCAGATCTTGAAGTCACCCCCTGCCCTCCTTGTGTGCTGTGGCATTTATACACACACAATAAAGTTTTAAAAGACTGCCCCTCCCCTCCCAGCATATGGGCAGCACAAATTGAACTTGGTGGGTTATTAATTTTCTTTTTAAAAAATATTTTATTATTTTTATTTTTTTATGTGTAAGAGTGCATTGCCTGCATGTCTGTGAGTGCACCCATGTCCTGCAATGCCGCAGGTCAGAAGAGGGCTTCGGATTCCCCTGGAACTGGAGTTAAGGATGGTTCGTAGCCGCCATGTGAGTGCTGAAACTCGAACTTGGGTCCTCTGCAAGAGTAGTCAGTGCTCTTAACCACTGAGCCATCTCTCCAGACCCCAGGGTTATTAATTTTTAAAAGACATGAAGTTGGGAATGGGTGAATATGATTGAAATACATTGTATACGTGCATGAAATTCTCCAAGTATTAATAAATAAAATGTTGTATTTACAATAAGAACATAGCCCGTCCCATCCCTTAAAGCAGCTTTGCTCTGCTACACCACCCTGTCAGGAGGCTCAGTGTCCCCACAGGCCCAGAAACAAGGGAGCCAGGGAGCAGCAATGAAACCTGAGACTGTGAGCCACAGCAGACCTTCCCCTCCAGCTCTCAGGTATTTGTCAGGGTAACAGAAAGTCAGACTAGCCTGGTGTGGTGGTCACGCCTTTAATCCCAGCACTCCAGAGGCAGAGGGATCTCTGTGAGAAGGTCAGCCTGGTCTATACAGTGAATTCCAGGCCAGCTGGGGCTCCAGGGAGACCCTGTCTTAAACAAACAATCCATCCCCAAACCAAGTCAAACTGATACAGGAGCTTTCCAACATAAAAAGGGAAGATCCTGGAATCAAAATAGGCAGAAGACCATGGTTCTAAAACCCTTGCTTCTCTTGAGGCCTGTACAGTGCTTAGGCATCTGTGATCTACTGAAAAATTCCCAGAACAATCTAAAACCTTGTGTTAGATTTTATTCACTGAGCTCTTACCATGCACAGACACTGTGCCAAATTGTCTCCAATCTCTGTACCATCTCCATGAGGAGTGATTTATTATTCTTAGTGAAAAAGGACAAAGATCATACAATAGAGCCAGCACAGGTCCTATGACTCCAAAACCCAACCTTTTGCTAGGTATGAGGGCTTGTGCCTATAATCCCAACACTCAGGAGACAGGTTCGAAGACTGCCCAGCTTGGATTACAGGGTGAGACCCTCTCTCAACAGCAAAACCAAAAGCCAAAGGCCACCCTTTAGCTACTATGCCAGTGGGGAGAATACCCATACAATATAGAAAAGGACAAACTATAAGGCAGCAGGTGCACAGGAAGCACTCACTCCCTGGGCACGATCTTTCCACTGGCGGGCTCAGATCTGGTACCATACATTCATTTGATTGTTCAGCACGTTAAGTCCATTCCAGGGACTGCTCTAGACCATGGGAATCAAGCACAAAACAGACACACATCCCAACCTCATGGAGCTTGCACAGCGAGTGGGAGGAAGAACACACAAATAAAATTTAAAGTACGTCAGGTGATGACAGTCAAAAAGAAAGGGTATTGGGGGTCCTGGCTACCATGATAGAGTTCTAAATGAGCCCACTAGGAAAGAGTTCCTCCAAAAGGCGGGTTAAGGACCTGGAGGAACGTGAGGAAGTGAATCACATATACCCAGAGGACAAGTAAATCAGGCAGTGCCATCGAGAGGGAGTGGCCATGAGGTTGCCAGTGGGTCAACGCACTGGTACGTCCAAGCTCAGCAGACTATTAGAAGAGACCCTACTGGAGGAGAGCACTGGGGGCCTGACCTTCAAGGGAGGGTCTTGCTTTTGGCCTGTTCCCTTCTGCTCTCAGGAGTGAGCAGCTCTGTACTGCCCTCCCTTCACCATGAAGATCTGTCTTAGAGGTCTATAGTCACAGAGTCAGCCAACTGACTGAACTACTCCAACTATGAGCTAAAACAAATCTTTCTTCCCTTAGCTTCTTCACCTAGGTATTTTGTCATAGCAATAAAGAGCTGACACATCTGGAGACTGGGATGTCTTAGAAGCTGGGTAAGAAGTGTTTTGAGGAAGGAGTGAATTGTAGTGTCAAATGCTGCACAGAAAATATTACAAGAAACCAGGAGACAGGACTGGAGAGATGGCTCAGTGGTTAAGAATACTTGCTGTTCTTCCAGAGGACCCGGGTTTGAGTCCCAGCATTCACAGGGCAGTTAACAACTGTCCATAACTGCAGTTCCAGGGGATCCAACGCCCTCTTCTAACCTCCTCGGGCACTGTATGACATGGGTGCATTTACACATGTCATAGTTTGTTTCTTCATTGCTGTGACAAAACACTCTGACCAGTACCAACTTGGGGAGGAAAGGATTTATGTGTCTTACTTCTCCCAGGTCGCAGTTCATCAGGGAGCCCAAGGTAGGAACTCAGGGCAGGAACCTGGAGGCAGGAGCTGGAGCACAGGCCACGGAGGAACGCTGCTTACTGGCTTGCTCCCTTGGCCCCTGATCAGCCTGCTTTCTTATGGAACGCAGGACTACCTGCCCAGGGGTGGCACCACCCACAGTGGGCTGGGCCCGCCCACATCACTCATCAAGATGCCCTTCAGACATGGCCATAGGCCATGTCCAATAGAGGCAATTCCCCAAATTGAGGCTCCCTCAAACCAGGTGTATCAAGTTGACACTAAAGTGATCCAGCACAACACACATGCAGACAATATACTCATACATATAAATTAAAACAAAACAAAACCAGGAGCATACAGTTTGACCACTGTATGGATATGTATTATACACACACACATTTTTTTTTTTTTTGAGACAGATCTCAACATGTAGCTGAGGCTGGCCTCAAACTTGTGAACCTCCTGCCTCAGCCACTAGAGTACTGGGATTATAGACAAGGGTCACCTTCCCCAGCTGACCACTGGAGTTAATGTGGCAAGTCACCGCTAACCTGGACATAAGCAATTTCTGTGAAGCAGTGATTAGGATGGTTTGAAGACAAAAATGGGAGAAAGCAATTTTGGGGTTAAGTTTCACAATGTTTTGAGAAATTCTCCTGGTAAGCACAGAAGCATGCTGCTGGCTGGATTTTTTTTTTAAATTTAATTTTATGTGTATTTTATGTGTATGTGTGTATGTGTATTCTTCAGTGATTACTTAATCTCTCTGGTTCTATTCCCTCCTTTTCAAAGGGGAGGGCTAGTATTAATATCTACTCCATTAAGTGGCAGGTCAAACTCCTATTGTAGCCCAGAAAATTATTTCTGCTTTCCAATGTCGGCAATATTTCTGACTGGCAGGTAGGTATTCAAAGCCCTGTGTCTATAGACCTAGGACAGCGAAATACACAATCATAAAAGATGGTTTTTGTCCTCCTAAAGTTCACAGTCCAGATGAAGAAACAAGGCCATGCTATTAACAGTTAATATATTACAGTTAAATACCTACAGGCAGAACTGTGGTCCAGGGGTGCAGACCATATGCACAGAAAATTCAGAACCTGAACTGAACCCATTACCTACAATAACACATCCAGCTCATTATGGGTTCTTTGGGTACTGTCCTTTGGGTAAAAATGTATTCCCACAGGGAGAAGGGCTCGTTTGATTTTTGCTGCCCTTGGAAAGGCGGGCAAAGGCCTCTCCTGAAATCACACCACCAACCTATGAAAAGTCTTTTCTTTGATTTGTTCTAGGATGACCGGCGTGAGCCTTAGAACTCACTCCTACTGGAGGGGGATCTTACAACATAACTGCTACCTCAGCAAAGAGACTTGTAAACAAGGTCATTAACTGAAGGCTTAGAGGACAACAGTCTGGGGTTCTGGTAAACACCTGCTGCAGCCCCTCCCCCTTGTTTTTCTGACAGGGTCCTAAACAGCGCAGGCTGGTCTCAAAATCAATATGCAGCTGAGGAAGATCTTGAACTCTTGATCTTCCTGCCTCAACTTCCTGAGTGCTGGCACTACAGGTGTGTGTGTTAGTGCACCTGACTAACCCTCCTATTCAAAGGTGCAGAGTAAATTATTTGTCAATTTCACAAGGCCTTGTACTGTGTAATACAGTCACAGCAGGTACTTAAGATTGACAGATCGAAGTCAATACCAAAGGAAGAAAAAAATAATTTTTTTTTTTTTTGAGACAGGGTTTCCCAGTAGCCCCAGCTGGCCTGGAACTCACAGAGATCTGCCTGCCTCTCTTCCGGAGTACTAGGTATACAGACCAAGTGCCAACATGTATGCTACGGAGTTTTTCATATATTTTTCCTAGTCTCTAAAAAGGTCAGAATTGCTGTTGCCTATCTTGAGGCTGTCGAGCACAGAAGTGTAAAGGGACTAGAGAGGGAGTAGTAAACCCTTAGTTCCTTTAGTGAGGCTCCCATTGAGAAAGCAGATGAGCACGGTGAACGTTCCCCAAGGACAAAAGGCGTGTGGGGAAGCCGAGGTGGAGACGAGGCTGGCCCCAGGCCCTACCCACAACGGCGCGTGCCAGCGGCGCGAGCTCAGGATCACTCGCTCTTCCAGGATCAGCACCAGGGAAACCCCGTCTGGCCCGCACAGATCCCTGGGCCGCGGTCCGGGTCCCCTCCCGCCAGAGACCGGCAGGTGCCCTCCGCGGGCTACCCTGGGGTACGACCTGGCCGAGTCCAGGGTCTGGCTCTTATGTGGTCAGGTGACCCTGAGCAATCCGAGTCCTCCATCCGAGCCTACCTCTCCGCTCACCTTGGCAGGCGCAGGACGCCTTCAGACCGGAAGGAGTTAGCACAGATGCCGGGAGCAGCCGCACCTGCCCTCGAACCCGGTCCCCGGACCCCTCGCCCCTCCGCGGCCTCTACCTCTCAGGCGGCCTCGGCGACGGGCACGGTTCCCCACCGGCCCCCGGCCCCGGGGCTCACCTGCAGGCCGACTCCGCCGACAGCCGCGGCCGGGAAGCCGCACCTCAAGGAGACCCCGACCGCCGCCGCCATCTTGGCATCTGACGTCAGCCACACCCCTTACCAGCCGGCATCCCGTCGGACACCGCGGTGCTGAGCCACCGCCCCCCCATCCCCAGATCCGTTAGCCACCGCAGCGCCGCTGAGGGGGAAGCGACTTCCGGTTTCCCAGGCGGGCCGACCGAAGGTGCGCATGCGTAGTAGCGCCAGCAGGATGCAGGTCCACTAGGCCTCGGGTTCCTAAGGTGACCTTCTCTGGAGTCTGAGCCTCCGGCTGACGGGAGGCCTAGAAGGGGCGGGACTAAGCCGAGGAAGCGGGGAGCTTTCCCATTTCTATTACTGCAGAGATTTTAACACCTCAGAAGTCAGTCATCTCTGACTTCTTTTTTTAAAAAAAATTATATTTTGGGGGAGGGGGTCTGGGTTTAATTGAGAACTGTCGTATGAGAACATAGAAGCTCAATAAAAAATTAAATTTTAAAAGTTTATTATTTTTTTTTATGTGTATGAGCGTATTACCTGCATGTAGGTAAGTGCAACCCCTGTCGTGCAGTGCCCACGGAGGTCAGAAGAGACGTAGGGTCCCTTGGAACTGGAGTTATGGACGGTTGTTAACCACCATGTAGATGCTGGGATTCAAACCCCATCTTCTGCAAGAGCAGCCAGTGCTCTTAACTGTTGAGCCATCTCTCCAGCCCCCAATATTTTTATTTATTTTTATTTTAAGTGTACGAGTGTACTGCCTTTTATTTATTAGTTTATGTGTATGAGTGTATTGCCTCCTTGTAAGTGCACCCATATTGTGCAGTGCTCATGCAGGTCAGAAGAGGGCTTTGGATTCCCCTGGGACTGGAGTTATGGATGGTTGTTAGCTACCATGTGGGTGCTCGGAACTGAACCTGGGTCCTCTGCAAGAGCAGCCAGTGCTCTTAACCACCAAGCCATCTCTCCAGTCCCTCTGACTCTTCTCTGACCAGATTTTAGCTCTGAGTTTAAAGGACCCCCTCAATTGTGGGTAAATTGGGACACAGTGAAAACAAACATGACATGCACTTACTTATTCATAAATATGTACTTAGACTGCATACCTGTACACTTGAGAAGTAGAGGCAGGAGAATCAGATGCTTAGAGTTATCATTGGCTACATAGTGAGTTGGAGGCCAGCCTGGGATATAGAGATCCAGCCTCAAAACAAAAGAAACTATTGACAAAACAAAAAACGTGTGAGAGTACCTGTTACGTGGTTGGGTCCAGGCTCTGGGATGTCCCTATGAGTGAGCCAGCCACTTGCCAAATTCGTCTCTAATGTGCAAATAGGCAATTGAGACGTACAGTTCTTTTGGCCCTAAAGTAGGGGTGATATAGCTTACCTTGGACTTCTGATCTGCCTGCCCTTACCTGCCAAGGGTTGGGAATGCAGGTAGCACCACCATGCCTGATTTATGCCGTGCTGGGAATGGAACCCAGGGTTTTATGCATGCTAGACAAACACCCCAACCCTTGTTTTGTTTTTAAGTTTCCACTTTAGTCATCTGATCTGCTTTTCCAGCACTCTCTATGGGTTCTCATAGAATCTTCCTGACTCTGGGAGTTTGATTATCTTGGGGAGGTGTGGCCTTAGTGCTCCAAGTCATTTGGTCTCTTCAGGAACCCCAGCTGTTCACATGGGTCGGTGACTTTGCAGGTCCCCTGTTCCCAGAAGGAATGATTTTCTCTGTCTGCTTTAGGCAAAGGAAAGGCACCTTTTGGAGTCTTTAGTTTCCTCACTCCAGCTCACTTAGATGCTTCCAGTCAAATCAAGATGACCAGAGGAAACCAAAGAAATGGTTGAGGGGGTTGAGAGATGGCTTAGTGGTTAAGTTAAGAGCCCTGGCTACTCTTGCAGACGACCTGGGTTCCATTCCCAGCACCTACATGGCCGCTAACAACCATCTGTGACTCCAGTTCCAGGGGATCCATCGCCTTCTTCTGGCCCCCTTGGGCATTGCATGACATGGGTGCACTTACATACATGCAGGCAATACACTCATACTGTAAAATAAAAAATAATAATAATATCTTGGGGCTGGAGAGATGGCTGCATCAATTAAGAACACTGGTTGTTCTTGCAGAAGACCTGGGTTTGAATCCCAACACCCACATGGCAGCTAACAACTCAACAAAAAACCACCACTCGGATGGTTTCTTTAAAAAATATTTTAGGGGCTGGAGAGTTAGCTCAGCAGCAAAGAGCACTGGCTGCTCTTGCAGAGGACCTGGGTTTGAGTCCCAGCATCTACATTGCGACTAACAACCATCTGTAACTCCAGTTCCAGGAGAATCTGATACCATCTGACCTCCATGGGCACGGGTGCACTTATCTACACGCAGGCAATACACACACACACACACACACACACACACACATAAAATAAAAATAATAAAATTAAAAAAAAATCTTAAAAAGAGAAATGGTTGGGGCCAAGTTTCTGGATACCTTGACATGAACCCAGATACTCTGCCAGGTAGCCCCATTAAAGGGGATATGGTGAGGTCTGAACCCCTGGATCTCACCTTGACTGCACTCCTCAAGGCCATATGACTTAGGACCAGTCCTTTTCCATCTTGACCTAGAGTGCCTAACTCAGTAGGGAGCTGGGCCAATTTACTTAAAAGTCTGTATTACCATGGCTGTCTTGGGGGTAACTGATGACAAGGAGGAGGTCACCTTGACTTTTCACTGGGGCTGCCTCAGCACTGGAATAGACTCTTCCAGTCGGCCCCAAGGGTCCTCTGGGGCCACTCAAATTGGCAAAGTTGTAGGAAAACTGTCGCTTTCTTTGTAACTCCACCTGAGTATGCACAAGATATATTTCTAGAGAACTGGTTCCCTTAGCATTTTTAGTGTTCTTTCATGTCAAAGGCATTTGCTACCTACTAAGATAAATGGCTACCCTTTAACTTTACCCAGATCACTTTGGAAAAAGCAGTCTGTGGCCAGCAGAAGTGAGACCTTGATTTATGGAGGGGCTCTTGGTGCCAGTGTGCCCACACACCCTGCAGTCACGTCATTCCTGGGCTTCATGGGGATTTGGGGAGCTCAGTGTTATGGAAGAATAATACATTCCTGGGTGACTCTACCTCCGCCCTGAACTTTGGGATTCCAGAAAGGCACGGCTGCCATAGGACTTAGAGGTTTTCCTGGCTGCTCCTGACTTCTCTTTCCAAGGTGTCCTTACCGTAAGACCCTAGGGTTTGGGGTTAGTTGATTTGTTTGTTTCCATTAGTGCAGAGAGTGATATATTGCTTTTCACCAGACATTCTGCTGGAGGCGCTGTGTTTATATGGAACCTCACCTCATCGCTTGCAAATGTGTTTATATCAACAGTCTCCTCTGATCGTCCTGACAACCCTCTTTAGCTGGAATAACTGTCCCGATTTACAGACTCTTGAGTCTTTGAATACTAGGAGACCTGGGCAACTTTGGGTGGGAATTCTCCATTGGGAACTCTTTCTTCCCCCAGAGCAAACGTAAGTATCAATCTATGCTTGATGGCTCAGGACTGTAGTCTAAGCACTCAGGAGGAGGATTGCTGGTTCCAGTTGAGCCTGGGCTATGTGGCAAGGTTCTACCTCTTCCCCCTCCTCACCCCCAAAAGAGAAAGAAAAAGCATAATGCTGTATCATTTGTCATTTGCACAGTCACCTGTGTTCTTGTATCTTGTAATTTGGGGTAACCTGACTGGCTTATACTAGGCAGAGGATCAAGGAGGTTGGATTTAAGGGGAAATATCAAATGGTCTGTCTGGAAGACTTATTTCCCTTAAGACAAGTCTACTTCACGCCAGTGGATCCCTGTGGTGGGGCTCTGAAGCTTTCTCAACAATTCAGCATTTTTCTGTTTGGCCCAGGGGCTGTAGCTCTCTTCCAGCTCTTTGGCTGATCCTCTCCCTGTATCCAGGCTGCCCTCGATCTCCATCAGGAGTCTCTTAAAACTCAGACCGTCTCAAACCTCACGTACCACCTGAGGCCTGAGATGTCCATTTCTACCTTCATCAGTACCACTATCCACTGGCCTCCATGTTAGAAAGACAGTGTCGTTCATGATCCTGCTTTCCTTCCACATCCTCCAACTGCCTCCTGCCATCACAGTCTCCAGCCCCTCGGTGTCCCCTCCAGTTCTGTCTGCCGCTGAGATGAGGCCCGTACTGATCCCTCCTTCCTCACTGCCCACCCCTGTGCCTTTGCCCAGCTTCACATCTTGGATCTGGAGTGTCCTTTCCTCCCTTATTTATCTCTTGATAAAGTCTTATTATTATGTATCCCAGGCTGGCCCAGAACTTCTGATCCTCCTTGCCTTGACCTCCAGAGTGCTGGGATTCAGGTGTGGGGTATTTGTCTGGGTCTTTCCTCCTCCACATAACCATTTTTCATTCTTGAGATTTCTCCTCCTTAGAAAATGAGTCCCTGACTACTCCCAACAAAATACCCTCTACACAGCCAGCAGTACAATTCATACCTTGTTTAATAATATCCCATTTAAACACCTTTATCACCAGACTGGGACATTTAATTTTTATTATTTATTTTTATTTTATGTGTATGAGTATTATGCCTTTATGTGTGTAAGTGCACCTGTGTTGTGCAGTGCCCTTGGAGGACAAAGAGGGTGTTGGATCCCCTGGAACTGGAGTTACTGATGGTTGTTAGCCACTATGTGGGTGCTGAGAACCAAACCCAGGTCCTCTACAAGAGCAGGTGGTGCTCTTAACCACTGAGTCATCTCTCCAGCCCCAGATTGGGTCATTTTAAAGGCCTGGACTCTTTATTTTCTTTACCAAATCTGTTGCTATCTGTAAGTCTGTTCTGAATTTCTTTCTTTTTCTTTTTCCTTTCTTCTTTCTTTCTCTCTCTTTCTCTCTTTCTTTCTTCTTTTATTTTGAGACAGGGCCTTGCTATAGAAGCTGGCCTCAAACTAGTGTTCCTTCTGCCTTAACATCATCACACATAACCTTTTTTGTTGTTGTTCTTGGTGGGTTTTGAGGCAGGGTCTCACTATTAGCCCTGGAGGGCCTGGAACTCACAGAAATTTGCTTGCCACTGCCTCCTGAGTGCTGGGATCAAAGACATGCCCCACCATGCCCAGCCCAACACAAAACCTGTTTTTTCTGGGGGGGGTGTCT